GTAGTGTCACTCTCTTATGGATTGAAGATGATATAGTCCGCTATCCCCTCTCATCTAGTGTTTGGGGCTTATTTAGACACTGCTTGATCAAATTTCTTGTGTGGTTTGCTGAGCAGAGATATTAGTTTCTATACTTCCCAAGATATTATTTCTACATTATGCTCATATACAATGGCTAGAATTCTAGATTGCGTTGTTTCAATCGTAAATTCATGTTTCAGATAGTAGTTGTTGGAAATTTGGAATATACGTATGTATGCTTTGGCGGTTGTTTCATTGTTTGGGGTCATGTCTTCATGTGCTAAGTGAATACTTGCATTCGAAGAGTCATAAAATAGAATGACCAAAATAAAAGCAGGTTATATATTTATCTTGGTGTTTTCTCAGTTATACCATTTGCTAGGGATTTTTGTTTATTTGTATTTTACAAATCCCTATCTTTATCGAATAAGATAATATAGCCGATACTTATTTATCATTGAACTTTGAGGGGTCGCCAGTTGAAACGTTGTAACTTGCTGAATTCACTCTGGGAATGAAAAACATGCCATAATCTCGTGTTTTGGAAAAAATTCAAGTTCATTATATACCTTAGCAATGTTTTAGATAAGGCTCACAGCTCACAGTTCATTGAGTTTTGAAACATGTTAAGTTTCTAAGGCATGTCTTCTTGGCCTATTGTTGATTATGTTTTCATTGAAAGGTTATCATTCTGTTAAATTCATCCACTCGTAGTATAACACCCTACACAACCAGCCATTTACATGAAGGGTTATTTTTTCACACTCTTGTTTAGAAAGTAAGACAGTGTACATCTTGTCTCTCTAGACCCCAATGGAGTTGGGATTATACTGGGGTTGTTATTTAGACACACATTTTGTCAGTTCTCTTTTAATTGAAGTTTGACACCTAAAGCTGAATTTCTGAAGATTATTTAGGTTGTATGATCTGATTTATTGCCAAACATTCTATTTAGGTACTTTTGCCACTTTGACCAACAATTTCCATTGTGTTTTTTCTTATCAAGGCTATACTTGTAATTTGTAAATAGTTAGAATTTGGAATTTTACTTCAGTCTACATATGAGGTTCTAAAAGAACATGCTAAGTTCTCTATGGGATCATAGAATTTGAAATACCATATTATTAGTTAATATTTTTACGTGCTTGCTTTTCCTCAACCGCGGGTTTCTGTGCAGTTAATGGTTCTGGGGGTTTGGGCTAATCATATTTCTACAGAAGTTCCAAGTTTCAACGATAAAAATATTGATGCACATTTAATCCAGGACATAGATACCTAACAACTGAACAACCTAATTGTTATTTGTAGGCGTTATATGTCATTAATTTTTGTTTTATCTGGTCTTAAGGAAGCTGTTACTTTCCTCACGAAAGTGGAGCAATCACCTGCTAAATCTGTGCATGATGCACTTTCTCCATTGGTCAAGGCACTGGTTGAAGATGTGCTTTTGAAGCATTCCAATGTTGATGTGAAGGTTGCACTTGCGTCTTGCTTAAGTGAGATTACTAGAATTACCGCACCAGATGCCCCATACGATGATGATAAGATGAAGGTATCAAGAGCAATGCTTTTATGTTTTAATGTTCATAGTAATCAGTAGGTAACACTATATTTTCTTTTATATGCAGGCTATTTTTGAATTAATAGTCTCATCTTTTGAGAATTTATATGACGAGTCAAGCAGATCGTTTAACAAGCGAGTCATGATTATTGAGACCGTGTGCAAGGTCCGGTTATGTGTTGTTATGTTGGATCTGGAGTGTGATGAACTTATCTCTAGGATGTTTCAGTACTTCCTTAAGGCGATAAGGTAACAAATCATAACTGATCATGCATTTACTAACTTCCCAAGCGCCCATTTTTGTAGTTGTGCCAAGTACCTTTTTTAGACATTTTTTTATGTGTACTTGTCCACTAGTCAATGTACTCCATATAATGCACATTGAAATATTGAGACTGAGATTTAGGAACTCAGCATTTTTATTCATTCAATATATTCATAAGTGGTCAACTGGTCATTGCTAGTGGAGCTAAAAGCCAATTCTAACAATTTTCTAAGCTTGCTTTGCTGATTTTCCATGAAGATTTGGATAGTTAATGCAACAATGCCTTTCTTTCTTACAATGGTAAGGTTGCGTTCATTTCAATCTCCCATAGACCCCAACACACTCCAAAGTTGGGATTATACTCGGGCGGGAGGGGGTGAGGAAGTTATGTTTTATCCATATTCCATCTTTGAACTGTAAAATTCATTGTTATAGGTTTGTGAAATGCAATCATGCAAGATTTTGTTCGATGAGTTACTTTTTAAAATGAACCATAAATTATAAACCTGAGGTGTAAGTGAGTCTATGTAGTAGCCCCCTTCACAATGCTTTACACATTACTTTGATGCAAATGCTGATAAAAATTGAGAAATTGTACACTGTCTTAGAATTATTTTCAACTTTCAGAGAATATCATCCCGACCACATCTTCTCATCCATGGAATCCATCATGATCATTGTTCTTGAAGAAAGTGAAGAGATTTCTATGGATCTTGTTACAAACCTATTGGCTAGTGTTAAGAAGGAGAATAAGGTATTGTTTATCTTGATCTTCATTTTTTTGGATCTTTTATATATTCCTGATTGTTATGCTCTTTCAGGATATAAAGCCAACTGGTAAAAGGTTGGCGGAGTCTGTTATTACGAAATGTGCTGTCAGGCTTAAGCCTTATTTCAAGCATGCTGTAAAATCTCAGAGCTTATCACTGGATGAGTACAGTAACGTTGTAACTTCTGTTATGCAAGGGACTCCTATTGCTGTTGAGTGTAATAATGATACATCGAAGGACCCATTGGTATTGTGATCAATTCTATACTTGCTTTACATTTAATGGATTGATTTTTCTATATCATTATAGAGTTTATCTGTCTCTACTATATTAAAACTGCTCTTCTTATTATGACCATCTTACTCCTATGCATGAACCTTCAAAATAGTCATCTTGAGGTTTAATTGTTAGTGCTTGTAACAATGATCAGTAGTACAATACTTAGGAATTTCTTTGAAACAATATGGGTGTTTTTCTACTATAATGAATTAAATAGTAGTTATATTGATGACCAATAGTAACAATAGATGGCATATAGTTCTGCATTTCAAGTTCCATTGTTTACTTCGTCAAGTTCCATGAAAACTAATTAATAAAGCAAAAGCTGTGCAACCTAAAGATTGAGTTGATCGAGGCTATCCTAGTATTTGGTCTCCCAAAACACTTTGGAATTGTGTTCGAATTCACATATTTGAGATTTGAATTGACGCGTTAGTGCCAGCTTTATTTTGGATGCACATTTGTTTCTTTGGTAAGGGAGTATATGTCAGATGATTTACCAATTTGACCCTGAGTCCAAGCAAGGTTGTTAAATCAAGCCCCGGTTGTAAGATTGGGCAATTTTACGTCTCAGGATTCCTGGAATGATCTGAATTGCAGAAAAGAGAAAAAATTGATAGAGATTGAAAGATCATCGAGTTGGATTGTAAAAGCATCCTATTCAAGCTCAATTCAATCTTCAGATATGTTAAGCGGGTCTTCACCTATCATCGACTGAATATAAAAATTCCAGAGAACTTTATAATTGTTAGTTGTGACGCATCAAAAATCACAAAGCAAAAAAGGGTATCTCTTTGTGGGTCAGGTTGGGAAGTGTACCAGACTATTTATTCTTTATGTTCCTTAAATTTAGATTTTCAGTTTTGCCAATAATTCAATGATGGAGATGGATCAGTTCAGAGTGCATAATTTTTTGGGATGGAGGGAGTGCATATTACCTACTCCCTCTGTCTTAGAATGTAAAAAGTGTTTTGGAATTACAAAAAAGAGTTCTTGGGAATGTAACAAGTGTAAAAAGTGTTTTGGGAAATGGGGAAGGGGAGTAAAAAGTAAAAGTAGGAAGTTTATTTTGGGACGTTGAGAAATGAGATGAAGGAAGGTTATTTGAAGACGGAGGGAGTATTACTCTAAAATCTTGTGATGCAAGTTACGGTATGCATTTTACGATCCTCCAACCCCCTCGGATACTAGCTAGAATCTTGAAACAACCTTGAATACAAGTGTCATGTTTAGTTATTTAAATCTTAGCAGTCTTTTTTGGTAACAGTCCTTGCATAGTTATTTAGATCTAGGCATTTCTGGGGTAGCAGTTTTTGCATATGTGTTATTGTATCTTTTGTTCCTGGTATCTTCTCTTTCATTGCAATTAGGTGCATGGTTCCATATTTCCCTTTTTGTTGCTTATTTGTTGGTAGGTTTTTTTATTGTTTGAATGCCATCCAGTAGTTGTAATCATCATTAGATAATTACTCTTAAACTTTTTAGAGAAAAATATTTGTGCTCTTGCAAAGCAGTAATACCATAGCATTTTTTTCCTCAACAAATTTGGATTTTGAGTATAATCATCGTAGTTGATCTTCCCATTTATCAGATGGCCGAGGATGCCCAACAAGGGGAGTGTTCTAAAGATGACAATCAAGCTGCGGATACATCTCCAAAGTCAGCTGTGGGCAATGATGTGATTGAAGGGATTATCACGGACTCACAATCTTTAACAAAGTTAGGGACTCCTGAACGAGCTGATATTTCAAACCTGACACCTAGATCTACCCCTGATGATTCACAGGCTGAAAGCACAGTGAAACCAGAGTTGGAGGTATCCGAGCAAACCACAAAAGATAAAGGAAGGAAGTCTAGCTCACAATCAAACGTGGAAGATTCTATGGACCAGGATCCTCTTGTTTGTCAGATAAGTAATAGGGATGGGCACAGTTCATTAGCTGAAAATTCAGCTGAAGAACAAAAAGGTTCGGGTGAAGTTATTACAAATTCTCCAATTGCTGACACAACAGTCGAGGCAGCAAAACTTTTGGAGGAAAATGAAAGTAGTGCTCAAGTTTTTCCACACAAAACATCTAAGGATGAAGCTGATAATGTTCCTTCCTCAGACCCTAGTCTTAGCGTGCCCAATGAAATCCAGAAGGAGACTATTCAGCCAAAGGAGGACGATAACCTTGTTCAGGAAGAGTCTCAATGCCCTGAACTTGGATCTAAGAATCCGTCTGAGGGAAGAAGTGATTCAGAATTGCAGCCAAAGGACCTTAGTACCAAGGTGCAGAAGAAGATATCTCTCAAGGAAGAAACTGATTCTATGAGGGATGCAGAGGCAACAGGCCTGAAACAGCAAGTTGTGAAGGCTAAAGCTAATGATAAGAAGTTTGTTTCTTCAAAAAAGAAAGACAAACACACTATTCAGCCAAAGGAGGATGATACTTCTGAAATAGTTTCTAAGAAGCCGTCTGATGGAAGTGATTCAGAATCACAGCCAATAGATTATGGTACCAGAGTGCAGACAGAGGCCAAGATAGGGACTTCTCACGGCAAGGAATCTGGCTCCATGAGTGATGCAGAGGTGAAAAGCCTAAAACAGAAAGGTGAGAAGGCCAAGGCCAATAAGAAAGTAATTTTTTCCTCAAAGAAAAAACACAAGCATACTACTCAACCAAAGAAGGATGATGTTCACGAAGAATCAGTGTTTGCTGAAACTTCATCTAAGAAACCATTTGAGAAAACCAATGATTCAGACTCAAATTCACATGACCTTGATACCAGGGTGCCGAAAGAAGCTGATTCCATGAGTGATAGAGTGGTGAAAGGCCTGAAAAAGCGAGGTGGGAAGGCTAAAGCTAATAAGAAAAAGGTTGTTTCCTCAAAGAAAAAAGGCAAGCGATCTGTTCGGCCAAAGGATGATGATAGCTTAGTTCAGAAGAAAGACAAAGCACCCATGCCTGCTGAAATTACATCAAAGAAGCCACTTGAAGAAACAAGTGATTCAGAATCACATGACCCTGATACCAGGGTGCATACAGAGACTTCGCATGAAGAAGAATCTGGCTCCATGAGTGATGCAGAGATGAAATGCTTGAAGGAGCGAAAAGAGAAGCCTAAATCCAATAAGAGAAATGGTATTTTTTCGAAGAAACGAGTGATTCAGGCCAAGGAAGATAGCAGTTTGGTTCAGGAAGAGTCTGTTGATGCTGAAACTGCCTCTAAGACACCCCATTCCGAAGACACTAGTGATTCAGAATCACTGCCACAGAATCCTAGTACCAGGGCTCAAAAAGAATCTTCTCATGAGGATGAAGCAGACTCCATTTCTGATACAGGGGTGGAAGACCTGAAACAGCAAGGTGTGAAGACTAAAGCTATAAAGAGAAAGGGTGGGTCCTCTAAAAAAAATGATAAACCTAAAAGACGTCAGCGGGGAAAGGCTAGTATAGAGATTGATGTATCAAAGTCCTCGACAAAAGATGATGTAATTTGTCATTTCTGTATCACTATAAATCCTGCAAACCTGTTTATCTTCTTTTTTGGATGTGTCTAAGATCTTATTTGTATCAATCATTGTAGAGGCTCATGTTTTCAGAAGAGTCTCGTATAAAGTGTGTTGAAGATGATGCTAAAGAAGGAAGCAAAAAGAAGAACACAAAGAGAAAGCGCTCTTTGGGCAAGGAAAAAGTAATTAATATTCCGACTCATCTGAAATTATAAACTACAGAGTGTTCTTAATGATCCGAAACTTTATTTCTGCAGATGTCATCATTGTTGCTAATGATTATCTATTGATAACTTGATTAGTAAATGCTGCACATACATTTTAATCCTTAATCTATTCTCAGTTTGACTTGTGTCTTTGGACTCTCTTTGTGTGTGTATGTATGCAACACAAGGGTTGGGGGTGTCTTGGCACTTGTTTTTAGACAGTTAATCTGTGAACCTTGTTCTTTCTGTGATTGAAATTTGACATTTTTCGTACTCTCTGTACAGTTTTTTGACAGTTTGTGTATGTCAGGGCCTGGGGAATCCAGAGATAACATATGATGAAAGCCTTGTTGGTTCCAGTGTTCAAGTTTTTTGGCCATTAGATGATAAGTAAGTTCAGTTCATACATGTATAGTACAAGTATGGTGCTTTTTGAGATCTCACATGAGGCAACTACATTCTTGAATTAGTTTTTATGCTGGGTCTAACAGAAACATGCTCTCCCTTTTTATAGAAGGGTAGTGTATATCTTGACTCCCCAGAGCCCAATGGAGTTGGGATTATAATGGGTTTGTTATATTAGCATTTATTCTTTTTTTTTGTATTAAAATAAATACTTGTAAATTTATGCAACAAAGAAAAAAAATATGACGCCCTTAAAATATAGGGGCCATGTCCTGGTCTGCATCCTAAGGGCCTCACTTGGGACCGCAAACTGTAAAATCATGTTGAGAGCCTTGCACAAATAGTACTAGACCATTCAATTTTATTTAGTCTTGTAACTTGCTAACTTTTTTTTACCATTTCCAGATATTACGATGGTGTAATATCATCTTTTGATCATGTAAAAAATATGCACACGGTATGTTTATCTTTTACCTATAATTGTTTCTTTATGTTTTCTGACAATTGTAGATTAATAAACATTTTGTTCTTTTTGAGTAGGTTTTATACACTGATGGAGAAGTAGAAACTCTTAATCTTATGAATGAAAAATGGCACATTGTTAGTGAAACTTTGACAGAAAAAAAGGTATGTTTCTGGTTAACTCATGCATTGCTTGCTTTACTTCCACCACTTTTATACATTGTGTTTACTATCATTCATTTTATAGGATTTGGACGCGCCTTCTAGTCCTGATGTTTCTGCTGAAATGTGAGTGCCATTTTTTTAAATTTGATATGCATCATCTCTCTCCTTTTTACGAAGTACTGTATTTGTTTCGTGAAAAAATATATATTTAACTAGATGCTGTTATGTTACTCTTCTTTTTGTGGATGTGCTGCTAAGCTATTGGTATCACTATATGGTTTTGAGTGCTGGAGAACAGTGTTTGAAAAGGCGGAGACAGCCCTCCAAAGGCAGAAGTGTTAGAGCTTAAGGAAGTCTTTTTTCTTCTCACATTTGTTTTTGTTTCTAATTAGTTCACCGGCCAACATATGAGCATCTTAAATAGTACATCTAACATTTTAAAGAAGTTTAATAATAAAACCTATGAGGCACCTCACTCATGTGATTTTATTTTGAGCCTGAACTCCATTAGCCCGCACCTTGATTTAAGATATGGCTCTAGGTGAACACCTCTTAACAGTATAAGTTGAAGATTTAATTCTTGTGGACTGATGTGATTGGCTGAGGGTGTTATGTGAATGAGGAAGGGAACTGGAGGGAGCTATAAAAGGCAATGATAACTTTCTGTTTTTCACCTTCTAAAATCATTTTGATCTACACCCTTATTGTTATGGACTCCTTTGACACCCTTGTTTCTCACTTTCTCAATTTGGAGATTTTGGACAAGTAATTTTCAAATTTCTTTTCACCTTTAAAAATCGTTAGTGTGCTTATTTACTATTACTAATCATGTGGTGTCATATTCTGCCTTAGTTTATTGTAGTTAGGTGTGTGTTTCAGTCTTTTTCTGTATCTCTCTTTTTCCTTTTTTCCTTTTCTTTTTTCCTTTTTTTTAGATTCTTGTGTTTTAAGCCGGGGGTCTCTTGGAAAAAAACCTCTCTCCTCTCAAGGTAGAGGTCAGGTTTGCTTACACCCACCCTTCCCTGGCCCCACTTTGTGGGGTTTTACTTGGTTTGTTGTGAATGTATCGTTATATTTGTTAAGTTGTCTAATACGGAGTAACAGGTAATGCCTCTCTTTAAAAGTGACCTTTTCTTGGGATGGGGATTTTTTTTAGAACCCTTCCTTTTTCCTCCCATCCACTCCAAAATTTCCTCTCCCATTCACCCCCTTTCTTTCAACCAAACAATGGATTTGAGTTAAATAGTTATTTGTCAAACATTCTTCAGCATATCACAACCTCTGCCATAAATGGGTTTAAAATGTGTTGCTGCTCTCCATTTGCATAATTATTTCATTATATGATGTGGCTATGGAATCGTTACGTTATATCAGCTCATGCTCTTTTTGCCTCTCTTTCATCATTAGTATTTGAACATTTGGATTTTATATATTATCGAGCTTAGGAATAAATTAGTATGGAGTAGAAGATAAAGATGAAATGTTACTTAATGATATTGACCTGTTTTGAAGAAAAAAACATATCTCAACACTCAGCATTATGAGATATCACTTGCTTTAATGCTAGGATCTGGGTGAAGTTAGGATTGGGATTCCTTGCAGCCAGGAAACTCTGGTTCACATGTTCTTACGTTGGAGGCTGTCAGTCATATGATTGGATGGGTGAAGCTTTGAACTGATTTTTAAAAATATTTATAAAATTGGGTCCCAACTGAGTTAAGTGACAAGGATCTGGGTTCATCATGTCCTATAAAGTATCTTCTTTCCACATTTTAGGTCTTATTCAAATATCCTTGTCTAAAGTATCACTTGTTTGCTTTTATATGCTTAGTAGGATAGTTTGTTTCTATTCCTCGCTTCATATCATGGTTAAAACTGTTCTTTTTGCCTTGAAACATCTGTATTGGTTTTTTTCTTCTATTTTGATAATCTGTTCTGTTTTTCAGGCAGAGGCAGAAAAAGAAAAAGAGCAGAGAACTTGTTGAAACATCATCCAAGCACGATGTTTCACCTAAGAGGTCTGTCTATTGTTTTCATCTAGATCTGTTTTTTTCCTGATAATAAGAACTTGTCAAAGTGTTTCGACAAAGTATTGATTATTACTGGAAATTGCTTAACCAGTGCTGTACCCAAGTCCCGAGGCCCGCGTACAAAATCCAGTGGTAAATCCAAAGTTAGTGCTAATGTTGAGGCAAAATCCAAAGGCCGTCCCTCAAAATCCACCGGCAGTAATAAATCAAAGGATATGGCTGATAACCGTCAGTCATACGATTCTGATGACGAAGGGTCTGGAAAGTTGAAAGACATAATCGGCAGTTCCCCAAGGTCAAAGTCGGTCAAACCTGATCCCTCTACAAAGACAGCCACCACCAAAGTCCAACAGGACACCCCAACGACAAAAGCTGCCCCCAAATCGGAAGGCAAAGCCAATAGCGGGACAGGCAAATCAAAGCCTATTTCTAAGGGGAAAGATACAGCAGATGGTGGGGCAAAGAGGAAGGCGACTGAGGTAACAGTAAAACCACCCTCCAAGGAAGAAATCGAAACCAAGAGTGGTAAGAAGGGTGTATCATCCAAGGAAGAAGAAATCGGGAGCAAGAGTGGAAAGAAGCGTAGGAGGAAGTAGAGAAGAGCAACGCACACCGTTTAGCAGCGCCGCCCTAATGTAATCGTCACCTCCATCTTCCGCCCTTTAGGTTTCTAATCTGGTCTCTCTCTCTCTCTCTCAAATATATATTCTATTCACTTGAAAATAAGTCTTTTTTTTGGGGAGTTGGCCTAGATATGTATAATGCTACATCTTGGGGGGAGCCTATAGCACAGCATGGCGTTTGGTTTAGTTTAATGGTTAGTGTCCTGTGGATAATTACCTTGTCTGGCCCCTGGCTTGTGTTTATGGGGCATTGGCTTTGTGTTATTGTACTTTGATTAGGGTAACTTGTTTGCTAATGATGTTTTTTAAAATCAATGTTTGTACCTTAAGAATAGGGATTTGGTTAAGTTTTTTCTTTCTACATTTTTTTGTAAGGAGATAGTACTATTGCTGGCAATTTCCTAGACTTGATGTTGTGTGCCTTATTTCTTAGGCTGTGTTTGGGTTGCCAATGAAGTTGATGATTGGTGTTGTAACCCCTCCCACTACAGGGAAACCAAACAATGGAATTCTATACCAACTCCATTTTGTTCAATCTAAACACATCCTTAACTTCTGATTATGGTCGTTCTGTTAGCGTAACTTTTTTCCCATTTTGACCACAATCGATAAATGGGTTTCTCTATATTTCGAGTCCATATTTTTCTTTGTACTTTCTCTGTTTGTTTGAAAAGGATCTTTATGTTTATTATTCAGATGACTAAATGATATTTAATTTTACATAATTATCCTTCTTGTCTATTATTTTTTCTAAAGAAGAGTGTATTTTTGTTTGTTGTTTACGAGGTTTGACTTAAGTTCAAATTTATTTAAAATTTGGTAAAGAATTAAAAAACAATATTTATATATTACGGAGTAAAAATTACATTAAAAGCTTTATAAAACAAGAGACGACAAGAGCATAATTAATTTTTTCAATTAGATAGCAAAAATGGGTCAAAATGTGGGTTAGGTTTAGCCCTCTGAATGTTGTATACATTAACTTAAATTGGGACAGAAAATAGTATCATTTCTCTATATTAACAATCATGTCCAAAAAATTCATGTGAATCTGATAGTATAAATTATGTGGATGAAGGGAGTATCTTTCTTTATTCTTCATTATATACACAGAAATTTTAGCTGAATTAATACGAAGTACTTGCTACTACGTACATGATACTCTGTGGCAGTAGTTAATTTGTGGAAACTTTTGTTTATTTATAGGTTTTCATTGATTTTGATAAAATAAAATATTCTTGACATCTCTTATTTCGAAAAATTTTTTGTATAGTTTTTTAAATATGTAAAAAAAAATTATTTCTATACCAATATTTTAATAAAATTAACTGAAAAAGTTAATATTTTATCTCGTTTTTTAAAATCTGATAAACATTTAGGGACGAAAGAGTAAGATTAATTAATGTTTGGTCTATATCATGAAATAATGTTTTGATTAAATTTTTGGGGACAAAAATGAATTTGACCGTACAATTTTAAAAGAAATATCGTAAATTTAATAATATTTGATTAATATGGAAAATAAAATGTAAAATTTTATTAGGGGTATTTTGGGAAAAGATTTACTTGATTTGACATAATATTAAAATATGTGAAAAGGAGTAGTCAAATGAAAAATTTAATAATATTTGATTAATTTTCAAATGGAAAATTAATTGTGTAATTTTATTAAAAAAATTGTGTAAAGGAAATATTGTAATCAAGATAGGGACGAAGAAAGTATTTTATACTACTCCGTTCGTCTCAACATTAATTACAATTTTTTCCACTCATTTATCGATAATTTTTATTTATTTATACTTTTTCATTAATTATTTGATTAAATTATATCCTCTATATTTATTTCCCTCTGTCCACCATAGATCTTCTCAGTCACTATTCACAGGGTCAAACTTTATTCACTTTGTTTACTCAATTTTACTAGTCATTTCATAAAATAACATATTCTTGTCACCTCTAATTTTGTAGAACTTTTCATGTAATTTATTACTATATAAATTTTATTTTAAAATTTACTCCTATAATTAATTAAATTGAAATGAAAATAAAGTAAAAAAGTAACCCGCAATAGGAAGATCGTACTGTATTTAAATTGTCCAATCCCCAGTTGCCTTCTCCTTTCTCCAGAACAAGGACGCCACGGCGGAGACCGACGGTTGAAAGTTGATTGGGATATTTTATTTTAGGGTTGGATAAGGGAGAACTTGATCGAAACCCTCTCCGATGGCGCTGAAGTTTCTGAACAAGAAGGGATGGCACACGGGGAGCCTTCGTAACATCGAGAACGTGTGGAAGGCGGAGCAGAAGCATGAGGCCGAGCAGAAGAAGCTGGAGGAGCTCCGAAAGCAGATCGTGGAGGAGAGAGAGCGCGCCGAGTTTCGAGAACTCCAGGAACAAGCCGGTCTCGTCCCGTATGACGATGCCTTTCTCTTCCTTGTAATTTTGACTTTGATTCCACTGATCTGTTTTTGCTGATTTTACTTTTCTTTTTGTGTTTTTTTTTTGCAGGAGGCAAGAGAGACTGGAGTTTCTGTATGATTCTGGCTTAGCTGTGGGAAAGAGCAGTGGATTCAAGGCTCTTGAATCTTTGCCCACGAAGACCGATCCTCCTGATTCAACAGCTGCTTCTACTTCTGCATCCAAGGTTATCTATTTTATCTGTTACTCCGTGTATAAAAGTGCAAATATATATTTTGTTTTATGGTTTTAAATGCTCATTTATTAGCGCCTTGAAGCAAAATGTGCTTCTATTTTTCAAATATTGAAGAATAAAACAGTTGTTTTTGATATTTGTTATGTTTCCATATGTTTGTTTCTTAGCAGGCTCAATCAGCAGTTCCTGGTGCTTTATTTGAGGATAAGCCGCAATCTGCTAATGATGCTTGGAGGAAACTCCATTCAGACCCCTTGCTATTAATTCGACAACGGGAGCAAGAAGCTTTGGCTCGTGTGAAGAACAATCCTGTACAGATGGCCATGATTCGGAAATCTGTAAGTTTTTTATTTTCTTTTGAAGCTGAGGTGATTTTATTGAAAAAAAAGGAGAAGTTTGGTTAGATGATATGGATTGGGTTTTTCATTTGGTGAATTTGATATGGTCTATGCTTTCTATGTGATTATGAAAACTTCAAAAGCATGCGACTTTGAAATATCAAGGTTTCTAGCAATGAACTAAGTAGGAAACTAGGAGGGGTACAGTTACAGGACACTGATAGGCTTTGTGACTGGTTGGAGTATTTACACTAAAACTTTGCAAGATCAGACTTGAAAACATGGATGCATTGTATGGAATAATTTGTAGTGCTCATTTAAAGAGACAGAAAACGAATAAGTTTTGGGTTCTTCATTGCTCTTGAAATGCATAGCAAAGAAGTCTTGGAAATGTGGGGTAAATATTTTGATGAATTCTAATGTTTTTTCTGGGATGCCTTGTGTAAATGGGGAAATGTAAGATTTTGAGCTCGTGTAGTACTATAATCGTTCGCAACTCCTTAGATGCTAATGTTTAATGTATAATCACATTTGGATTAAGGATAAGGATTTCTAATGGGGTATGTTTATGCCATTTAAATAGCAGAAAAGATGAGTTTTTTTTGTGGCTTTAGTGGTAAAAACTTTTGCATTCGCTGTGGTATTATGTGCTAGCAATGATTCATTTTTCAGCAGCACTTCACATACAGTTTCCTTTCCTTTTGGGAGTGCCTGTGGGCTGTGTGCGTGCATGTGTGTGTGTGTGGGGGGGGGGGATCGGTAGTGATTATTTTCCTTGCTTTTTTTTTACTTCTTCCCTCTTCTTTGATAGGTCCTTTCCTCTTTGTTTTACCCTTCATGTGTCTTCCGTCTTCCTTTTCTCCTTATTTCACCTGTGATAGCCCCTTTGCATTTTCCAAGTACCCAAGGGACCTTACCTGACCTAAAATAAAATCTTTGGTTCAGGTTGAGGCAATGAAGCACAAGACTGGCGATGAAAAGGACGAGAAGCACAAACGGAAGCATCATCATCATCATAAGAGGTCAAAGCGTCATAGGAAGTCAAACCACCATAGTTCATCAGGTTCAGATGAAGATTCAAGTGGAGAAGGGAAGAGAAAAAAAGATACGCATATTGGATTCACTGGCTCAAAACCTGAGAGAGAGCAAGAATCCAGTCACGCACGGGATAGAAAGGAATATGTAGATTCTCTCCAGAGAGATGCAACAAAGAGGGAGGAAAACAGGCGGAGACGTCCTGTCAGGCTCTCTGAAGAAGAGAGGGCTGCCAGGCTGCGGGAGATGCAGCTCGACGCCGAGCTGCACGAGGAGCAACGATGGAAGAGGATAAAGAAGGAAGAGGAAAGGGATGCCAAGGAAGCAGCCATGGCAGGTGCACAGCAGCTGTCTTCTGGTGGAAGGAATTTCCTGGATGCCGCCCAGAGAAGCATATATGGGGCTGAGAAGGGAGGAAGTTCCACCATTGAAGAGAGCGTCCGTCGTAGGACCCACTATTCACAGCGCCGATCTGACGAAGCATCCGAACGCAATGCCTTCCGGAGGTAACGAAGATGTAATTTTGAGTGCAACTATTATATCTCGAAATCTACCATTCTTGTTGTTGGTTGTTTTTTTTAAAGCCATTTGTTCACAATTCCCAGCAAAAAATGTAGTGTAATCTTGTGCTTGGGTTTCATGAATATGCAATTTATGAAGTTAAATGCCACCCAATTTTAAGAATTCTGAACACTGCCAGCCAGTTTGGTTTTGTCTAAGTATGTGAGATATAGGTGTTTGGGTTTGGTTCTTTGTTATCCCAAAAGCCACTTCAGCAGGAGTTATTTCTTTTCTTATTCAGAATATACCCTCCATCTCAAAAACAATTACATGTTCACTATCCAGTGATTTTGTATTTTGCCTTTGTCACCTCTTGTTTGTACTCCGTATTTTTTTAAATACTGCTCTCTCTGTCTCTAATTAATTGGTCTATTTATTATTATCCAAGCTTTCGATAACCTTTGTTTGTGTATGAAATTTTATTAATCATTTGATAAAATAATATATATATATATATATTTATATATATATATATATATATATATATATATATATATATATATATATATATGTATATGTACCATTTGCTTTGTACCCGGAGTAGAACTTTTAAAATATGTGAATTATATAGTGATTTTTATTTCTATATCAATTTGTAAATAAAATTATGAAATTTTGCACGTTAAAAAATGAATGATTAATTTGGGACGAGGGAAGTATATAAAGTTCATTATCTCAATATTTATATAAATTAACTTGAAAATAGTTTTATTGAGTGTGGTAACTGGTAATTTACTACAGAAAAGTCTTTTTTGGTACAGAGTGAGTACGCAATCTTAACCAAGTAAATCTCGAGGGGAACTGGTTCTCATTCTTGAAGGCTTGAGCTTTCACATCCAAAATAATCCCCATCAAATAAATATAATATGATCACAACAATTAATAATAACATAAATATATATGTTGTGTGTATTTGTGTTTATACTTGTAAAATATTTTAATACAATATCACTTCCCTAAAAAAAAGAGATTTTTTTTCGTTTTGCGCAACGGGAAGAAAGATATAGGACGGAGGGAGTAACTTTTAACAACATATCACCAAAATACTCTAACACAATTCTCTCTTTTTTTAAAACAAACACAAGCCAAAAGTCAAGAGCTAAGAAAGGAAAACCTTCCCACAGCTACTGAAAATTTCGATTCTCATTCTAAAGAAGAATCATATTCAAAATCCATGCCAAACACTTTGTGAAAATGGCTCCAAAAAAGTCTCGGAATCCCACACGATCCACCATACTACATGATTCTTAGAACTACACGATGATGATGATGATGATCTAAATCAAACTATACCATGTTTGGCCTCTGAGGAAGAAGGAGATTATAGAACTTGTCGTGCAAGAAGAAATGCTTTCCCTTGCTGTCGACAGCTTTCTTCCACCCACACCATCCGCCATTGACAATCTTCTTGATGTCATCACTGCCGGTGTAGTGAGGATCGAGTATTAGAAATGCACAATCTCCATTAGCATCGTTGTAATCCACGCCCAGGAGCGTATATGCAAGGACACCACCACCTGCAAGAGGACAGGAGGTTAGGGTGTTCTATACTCCCTCTGTCCCATAAAGTTGTTCTCATCTTGACTTATAAGAAATTTAAAGGAGAAATTTTTGTGTTGACTTTCCAAAAATACCCTTGATGTGATGGATAGATTATTGGTAAAAAGGTATGATGTAATAGGTAGGGTAAGAATTTATTAGGGGTAAAAGTAGCTTTCTATTCAAAAAAGGAAGGACTTTGTGGGACACAAAAATAAAGGAAGAACTTTTTGGGACGGAGGGAGTACTCCCTATGTCTCATAATATATATTCACAGAGTCAAACTTCATCTTTTCTCCTTCTATTTTCATTACTCGTTTGATAAAATAACATTCCCCTCTGTCACGCAAAAAAAAATGTTCGACTTTCACAAAGCTTGAGGAAAGTGTTGAAAAGTGAAAACTTTATTATTAGAAATTGCTAACAGGAGACACAAAAGTTGTGAGCCACTCATTCCTTTAAAAGAAAGTGAAGCTTTTTTGGGGGACTGTTGAAAAGGAAAATTGTGAAATTCTCTTTGCGAGACGGAGGGAGTATAGGAGTAATCATGTCACCTCTTGTTTTGTAGAACTTTTGTTTTAGTTTTTTCAATATAAATTTTAGTAGCTCCATCCAACATTTTTTTGGGACGTGGAGTGACGAAAATTAAGAAAAAAATGAAAAATAATGGGATCCCTACTCACCAATCATGATGGGTGTCCCTTGATTCTCAAAGTGCAGTGCCAGCTCTCGGCATTTTTCAGGAAGCTCTGCTCCTGACCTTACATTTATGACTTTACATCCTACCTGGTAACACGACAGAAAACAATTGGAATCTAAATTATATTGCAATTCACTTGCAATAAGGCTGTTTTACCAAAACAAGAAAAAAAAATGCAAACTTACTCCAAGAAGTTTGTCCAAAACAAAGCTAAGCTCGATAGCACCTATCCAATCACGTGACCCTATGAATGAAGGTTCCTTATCTCCAATCTCTACAAGTGCCTGTTGTATTTCCCTGAAATAATAGGCTTTTAGAGGGTGTTTGGGATCGAGAAAGCATCTCCTAGATGTTTTTAGATTTTGTTGTCAAAATAATCACTTTTCAAAAAACCAAATAATCACACCCAAACACTCTCTTAGTATGATAGTGAATAGCTTCTCAGCCACTTCTTCACTTTTTCACTAGTTTGACTAGTTTCTAGCCGGTTTGACTTGTTGACCAGACTCTTTGAGTAAGTTTTTCTTAAGCTTGAAAAGCCAAAATGGTTGGTTGAAGTAGCAACATTTATTTCGTCTAAAACTTTAGTTTTTTGTTAAATAACTGATAACGTAATTCAAAATGTTCAAATAATTAAACGCCCATATTTGAAAGTAAAAGTTATTAAAATTATTCACATTGACAAAACTTCGTGTGTGTGTATGTGATTTATAATAATGGACGATAGATAGTTACTCCCTTTGTCCCTATAATAAAAGCCCCCTTTCTACGATGCACAACTTTTTTATTTTGGTGAGGTACAACTAATGAAACTCGCCAAATTTAATTATGCTTTCAAGTTTATCTTTTAACTTAGCCCAATTTTACTTGTTTGACATGCTTTTTTTCATTTGAAAACATTTGATATGGTTGAAATTATTAAAGTTCAAATTAACTATTCCAAAGGTCAAACTATATCTTCTTTCCTTGATATTTTGAATGATCATTTGATATAAAACAATCAAGTCACCTCTTGTTTTGTAGAAATCTTGATGTTGTTGTTGTGTGTTTGTGTGTGTGTGTGTGTATTTAAAGGAGCAATTATATGAAGCAAATATTATTTCCTTAAAAGGAAATAGGTGTTTATTTTTTTTGGGCAGAGGGAGGAACAAACATTGAATAACAAAATACCTATGAGAAGGAACATTAACTGCAGTATACTTTTGCAGTCTGAACCATGAAATGATGGTTTGTAGCGACCGGTAAGCACAACCCCAACCCTAAAAAGACCATGTTGAAGTCAAAGAACTGGATATGACATAAATAAAGAGCACAAGAACCAAGCAATTTGATATTCCCTAAGAGGACACTCCAAATGGTGGGTCTGCAATGACAAGATGTTTGCAAGCTATAATAAGGTAGTGGGAGGACTTTTCAACCAATTTATTGAGCAAGTGTAACCACAAGATTCAAATTTGACTAACAGAAACAAAGTACTCCATATAACATATAGGTTTTGAAGGATTGAGTTTAAGAAGATATCTAATTACCGAGTCATCAAATCCATCTTGGAGGTAGTGAAAGTACTCATAAGAACCTTGAACTAACGAAGTAATGCCTCCAGAAACTTTACACAAGAATTACATCAGGTCACAAATAGGAAATATGAATTAATAACTGTACAGGATGCATTACATAAATATTCTGTTTGTGCACTGAAAAAAAAATCCATAAGCTAGTGTCATAGTTTAAAGAAACCCCATTTAAGGAAATATCTTAATTCAAGATGTAAAGTTCACAAAAATCTAGTTTCCCATTAGTAGAAAAAGGCATACCCAATGTTGAAGCTACCACACAATGGAGTGCCCGGGGAAGGGCATAATTTAATAACCCATTAAAACAATTTGGCATTGAAATATTTAAATGAGAGCATCAAATCTACTACTACTCACCTCCACTATTCGGAATTCCCATATGTACGTCCTTGAGCAAATAGTGACCTACCAGTGCAATAAAATGAAGTTTCACAATTATGTATGGAGATATGACCTACGAGTCGAATTGCTTGATATCCACTAGAGAACTATATAAGTAAACAATCTTACCCTTGCATGCAGCATTTGTTTTTGCATCTTTTGCAGCAACTAGATTTATAGCATTTGCAATTCTTAGAAGAGGACGATCAAAAGGTAAGCCAAGCCTCAAATGAAGGGATCTTCTTGCCTCAACTGTAACAAAATGCAGTCCTTAGTGTATTGAAACCAGACAACTGATAACACAAAAGAATATGCATTGAAAAAAGTAACTGGACACTGTGCCAAAAATAATAAATACTACAGAATTAGATAATGATGTCACCAAGGGAAAGTTGAGGGGGAAAATGCTGGAAGACTCAGAATAGTGAGAAACTGGGGCAAGGAAAGCAATGTTTCCATTCTCTATTGCTCTGAGGTCGTATCTCAACATTCTTGTCTAATGTATTCTTAAAATTGTCGTACGATCAAATTACGACTAGCTAGAAGATTATTAAATAAGATAGACATAAACTGATGCAGATTTGGTCATAGACATTTACCATAAAGGTCCAAATGTATAGATTCGTTCTTACCTTGTTTCATTTCTGTTTCCCCATAATTGAGTTCATATAGAGCTGTGATAGGATGCAAGAGACCTGAAGGAACAAAGTGGTATGGCTGTAGCTGCAAAAACATACACAAATCATATTAGCTATTTGCTAACTAAGAGCAAAATGAGTAACATTGAGCTTTAGCAAGAAAGTACATAATAGCAATTCAAGACAGTGTAAAAGGAGAAAACAATAGTTTACATCTTACTTCTGGATACCCCACCAAGAGATCATTGGAGATTTTGTTCTTTACTGTGAGTAACTGGTCAACTAAAGCAGGAATGACTAATTTTGACACAGCAAATTTTAACGTAATATCCTTTGCAGCAAAGCAAAGCACTTCAAGTTTATGATCTATAACCAAGAGCTTTGTTTCTTCTGAAGCTGAAATGAGAGAAGTATACAAGTGTTCCCATGAGTTAATAAAAGGAGGAACCAAAATTTGTACGTTGAGTAAAGGAATATGAGTGGTAAACTGAGAATTTAAAATCATTATATTCATAGAGAGATCAAGTATGAGCACAGCATCAAAAGAAAAGAAAACTAGTGAACTAAATAATGATCACCTGGACAATACTCAGAAACAGGTGATACAAGTCTGAGAGGATCCCTTGATTTATTAAGAAAAATGCTTACTTGAATTACATCTGCACTCTGAAAAATGAAGAATTTTCAAATTGAACTATGAACAGTCCAAAATATTGAAGTAATGAGGAGTAAGACAGCATGTTGTTGCATTAGCCAGTCCGGATCAAAAGATATTACTACCAACTTTCAAGGGGACAATTGTGGATGAATCATACCTCTTCTATAGAGCTAAACGTTGACATATTTTCACTAGATTCAAATAGGGATGAACATAACAATGTTTTGGCATTCAAATTTTTATTGCAAGCAGAATCAGCTTGCTGTGCATGCGGTTCTTCTAATTCCATGTTCTGAAGGATGGCAGGTGGAACACTAGCTGAAACTTTATTCAGTGCTTCAATAATGAACGTCAGTTGTGGATCTCTAAGTGAAGAAGCAATACCATCGATTGCACTTGCATATATATCATGAACAGCTGCAGAGATCATGTACAAGTGTCAATATGGAAAAATATATTTTGATGGCATCAGTGATTACCACCTATACTTTTTTTACATAGCATTGTGAATGCAGACATGTAATTTATTTATTGTTTCCTTACAAAACCAACAACAAAAACACATTCTATTAAAAATAATTAACAGATAATAATAATTTGAATTCAATGAACTTTTTCCTTCTAATACAATCAGAGAAACTATGTTGGACAAAGGCCAGCAGAGACATTATTACCTAATACGATGTGACAAACTACACAGTTCACACTCGTTGGGATTTTATAGTGGGTTTTAGGCAGAATTCAGTTTAGTATAGTTGAATTCTTTAAGTAAAAATAAAGCACACATTACTACTCAATCAAAAGGTAAATGTGGCAACCAAAATCAGAATTACAAATAATCCACAACGACCACTTGATAAATTTTCTGATCATAGATCGTGATGATGACAAATAAATTCTTGCCATACAATCCATAGCCTGTGAATTATATGGAGGTTTGATGTATCATTTCTGGCAATCTAATGCCACTCACAATGTAGCCTAATTGGGAGCTCACACCGAATCAATCTAATGCCACTACAAAAATCAGAGAAGAAGTCACCTTTGGGATTGTGCAGAGGGTAATACAAAGGCAGCTTAATTGGGAGCTCACACCGAATCAAACAGCCTCTTCCCCAAACAAATTTCTCAGGCTTCTCTTCCTGAGAAACACAACTTATGCTCTCCAATTCCCCACCTGCCCTCGACGCGAAAAACTGGGCATTGCCCCCGCAGTTCAAATCCACCACAGCTCCAATCAAATCCTGTGTTTCACTACCACACAATATCTTCCTCAGTTTACTAGCCGCCTCAATAGCAAACCCAGCAGTTTGTTTAAAGTCACAGCCCTTTTCCACTACCATGGCTCCAATCACCTCAAGCCCCTTTGGCAGCAATGTCCTAATGTCATCTTTTACACAACAACAACAAAAAAGAAGATGGTATAGTCAAACAAAACACAAACACTTCAATCAGAAGGGTTTTATCCGAAATCGATAATGAAAAACCAACCTGATTCTCTGGAGAAATCGGGAGACGAAGGGTTGGAGTGGATACAACGGAAGGTAGAGATGATTGTGGGAGGAGATGGGAAGAAGGATGATCCAATCAGCCATTGAAGGCCGGTTTCGTTCTTGATTATGTGGAGATTCCGGCAAAGGATCCGAACACTAGGCTTCTTCGGGTTTTCACTATCCATGGGAGTTGGCAGAGTGTTCGAAATATCAGAACTTTGTAGGAATTACAGTGTGAGATTTTATCTTGCGCAGACGAACAACCATGCTAACACCAAACCCCCAATACAATTACATTTTAACTATTTACACCTGTAAAAAATGTTAATTCAATTAAAAAAATTTGCACTGACATTTTTTGTTAATGTAAATCATCATACTAATTTCACAATAACACCAAATATCGGTGCATGTCTTTGGGGTACAAAATAAAGTACAATTTTTTATGTACAAATAACTTAATCCTATACAAAAATATTCATTCTATGTGGTTTCCAGTAAACGCCCCTATATAGTTAATATTTTCCTAAATTAAAAATATCTAAGTAAGTTTTTTCTCAAGTGGAGTCCATGAGTCTACTCAGGATGAGTCCATTCCTCTAGTAGACACCTACTTATTTTGAAAAGATTCTTTTTATGACTTATTCATAGTTTAGATGATATAAAAATACCAAAATATCTTTTAGTAAACTGTAATTTAATAGACATTTTTATAGAGGACTATTTAGGTAATATTTCTCAATTGCAAATGACCATGTTGGCAATTATTGCTTATTGAAGACTAATTTTACAAAAGACACCTTATTAGAAATGATTATTTTGGAAATTTACTTAAACATAAATAATTAAATATAAGAAATGTTTGATTAAAACATAATTCAAATTTCAAAAACTAAAAAGACGAATCATAACAAAAGAGTATTTCAAATGTTTGATAACATTTTTATATTTATCTACAAAAAATCAAAACTCGAACGAGTGCCTATATTGTATAGCCGAAGGAGAGCCACGATAGTTGAAACCTTAATAACAACCATAGAAAGGTGTGGTTGCTATTCATGCTTCCCTAATAAATGAGAAAAATTATGGGTAGAAGGAATAAAATTTTGGAAAAATTATTCAGAATAATCTCAACTTTACTCGATTTTCAATAATAATCCTTCATTGTGATTCATAATAAAAGTTGGATTATTTTTGATGAATTTCTGTTTTTTAAATTTTTTTCATAAATTTTCATTTAAATTTTTAATAGGACTTTCTACCACAATCTTTTTTTTAAAAAAATATTAGTCTTATTTTATAAAAAAATAAAAAATAGATATAGAAAACAAAAAATGAGAAAAATAACTAAATGGATACAAAGTTCATATAATAAATAAGGTAATCAATAGAAACTAACTTGAAACAGAAAAGAAAAGAATAAAAATATACGGAGTGGTGGGTTTTAAGTTTTAACATTTCACGCACTATACAAATTATTAATGTATCACTTATTCTTATTTTTGGGAAAAATTGTCAAGAATAATTTCAACTTTATTTTTTTTAAAAAAATAAGAAGAAGTAGTACATTAATACTCTGTATAGTGCGTAAAATGTTAGAACCAACTGTTCCATATATATTTATTTTGCTTCTTACCAGTTTCAGTTTAATTTATATGGATTACCTTATTTATTTCATTTATTTTGTACGATCTTAGTTATTTTTATCATTTTTCGTTATTTTTTATATCTTTTTTTTATTTTTTCTAAGTTAGGACTAATCTTTAAAAAGTAAAAAAGAAATGGGGGTCGAAAGCCATTTTAAAAATTTAAATGAGAATTTAGGAAAAAAATTAAAAACAAAAATTTATAAAAAATAATCCCAACTTTCATTTGTTGCGCAAAACAGGCATTCCCGTTAACTCACTATTATTAATTTAACAGGGATCCAAAACTCACAAATTTCAGTAAAGTTAAGATTATAATGCATCACACTGAAAGATAAGATTATTTTTGAAAGATCAGGTATTATTTTAAATAATTTCTCCTAATATTTCTAGGACGAAAAAAGTATGAATAAGATGTGAGAGAAAACATACAAATGAACCAGAGTTATTATTATGTTAGAATAGTAATAAGGACATTAATTTATGGGCAGAGCAAGTACTTAAATATATATTTTGTATAATTATGTGTATTTATTTGACAAAGATCTTTCGACATTAGAAAAATGACTTTAGAATGACTCGAGACATACGAAGTTTCGTTGGTAAAATCGATAATTCCTGCCACCAACGCACCCTACCCCCTTTATCTTGATCTAGGAGGCTGTGTGGGATGCATGAGAAGGTGGGGGGAGGGGGTTAGGGGGAAAAGGTTAATTGTAGAAACCATCAATTTTATTAACGGGTTATATACAAATCATTTTAAAGTCAAAACCGTTCAGGTGAAAAGAACGAATGTGATATTTATTCAACTATATTTCACATTTAAATAAAAAAATCACATTTAAACGGATCAATTTGGATTTAACAAATTTTTAGTTTTGAAAACCGTTTTTACACGTTAGTACAAAGAAAACGACCCGTGCCACCGCGATATAAAAAAACAAAATATTGAATCCGAGCCAAATTCGTCTCGAACCGTGCGATTCGGTTTCGACCCGGGATTCGGGCTGCCACCCTATGCCTACCTGCTGGGTGTCGGCACATTGTGTAATGTGTAAAAACGTCTTATTCGTTCGCATACAAAAGGAAAAAAGCGAAAAAACCAATAATGGCGCTACACTTGGGCCGCCGCTTTTCCATTGGTGGTTAATAACTTTTTTTTTAACAGAGCTCAATAATGGCGATCACTAGTCCATGGGATCTCACTTAGCTAGCTGACATGTTAAATCCTGCCCCAGAGATTTATCGTCTTTCCTTTTGCTCTCTTCAATTGCATTCTCATCGCCATTTCTACTGCTTCCAGGCTTATCTTATCTGTCGTTGCCGGTGGGGTTTCCTTGATTCATTCCCTTTTCTGCTCACATTGATTTTCACATTTATGAAGTCATTGTTCAAAGCCCAGAAGCTGGAAGAAATCTTTGCTAGCTAGGGTTGTGATGATCAATGGAGTCTTTGCTTGCTGGTTGGATTGAATTTCACCGAAAACCCTAATTTGAAGCGGATCTGGAGCGCGAGGTGAAGCCCTAAGGACCAGGGCACTGTGAGCTAAAAAAAAGATTGCGTTTTTGTGTCAGTTCTCTTTTGTTTTTTCTTAGCTATTAGTTAGTTAAAGCAGCTCGGTTTGTGTTTTGTTAATCTCTTGGATTGGGATGGGAGGCGATTGATCTTGGGTTCCGGGTTTGTTGGAATTCCGGTGAGATGATTGATCAGTTCATCAATTTCGTCATTCGGCCACCTAGGTGCGTCCACATTTCTTTTCCTATAACACTGCAATGCTTGGAGCTAATCATGTTTCGTCATTTGTCCACCATAAAGAGGATGTCATTTTGGACTGATGTATAAATTTATCTTCGCATTAAAAGCAAATTAGAACAAAAAGAAGAATGTCTATCATGAGTTCATGCAACATCTAATGGTGATATATTATTTTGCTTGAATATGTTGGATGTTATGCAGAAACACGGTTGATGCAGAACTTGGTGTCTGTCTATCATGAGCTCATGATACAGATTACAATCCATTCGTTTTCCTTAATGAAACTATGATTTGAAATGACTTTTGGATAACATATAACAATATACTACCAAAGATCCTTTAAAAAAATGTATTTCTGATTTTTTTGATAATTGGTATTTGTGAACTTATTGATTACTCTGTGTGATAACAGGGCAGAGTATAACCCAGATCAATATTTATGGGAGAAAGATTTTACTCTGGGCGGAAGGAAATACAATAGACATGATCTGGAGGCAAGTTAGTGCCCCCACTTTACCAAAACTTTTGGGTTTGATTAAATATATTGATGGCGTTTAGAAGTTTGTACTCAAATCAATATAACTTTTCAGCTTAAGAACAAAAGAGGTCATACTTTACAGTGTAGCCATTACGTCCCATCCTCTTTTCCAGATGACTCGCCTCTCCCATGTGTTATATACTGCCATGGAAACAGGTATTTTCTCAATAATCAATGTTATTAGGAACATTATGAAGTTTTATTAGCAGGTTTTCTTGTTTACTTGTCCAGTGTTATTTTTCTTCTTATTGTTTCATGTGTTGTCTCTCTAAAGATATGATCTTTTCTGAAAAGTGACTTAATATAATTATGCAGTGGGTGCAGAGCAGATGCAAATGAGGCAGCTGTCATCCTTCTTTCATCTAATATCACTGTCTTCACTCTAGATTTTTCGGGTTCAGGATTGTCTGATGGTGATTATGTCAGTCTTGGCTGGCATGAGGTATACTTTCTTGATTGCTTATGCTTATCAATTACCTTAGAGGCCTGTAGTAACAGTTTTGTTGTTTGCCAGAAAAATGACCTCAAGGTTGTTGTCACATACCTGAGAAGCAATCCCAAAATATCACGCATTGGTCTTTGGGGGAGGTCAATGGGTGCAGTAACATGGTACTTTACTCTTCTAACTTCAAATGCCTGTTCATATTTTAAAATTATTTAGATTTTTGTTCATGTTGGACCTGCATTCAATCTTGAATACTATTTTGATGCTAGTGACACTTAAGGAAATAACTACTTGTACTTCTTGGAGACTGAAAACCTCATAATGCAGCCTTCTCTATGGAGCCGAAGACCCCTCTATTGCTGGAATGGTGTTGGACAGTGCTTTTTCCAACTTATTTGATCTAATGATGGAGCTTGTGGATGTCTATAAAATCCGGCTTCCCAAGTTTACAGTATGTATTACTGTCTATCCTTCTAATGTTATTCTTGTAATCAGTTTCAAATGCATTTAAAGAGTATCTTTAATCTTGTGTGTTTACATGTAGAGTAATGCTTTCTTATATGCTCTTTATTTAGGTTCACACATGCTTTATAAAATAGAGCATGTCACTCTTCAATAAAGAAAAGATCTTGCAAGATATGTTTCTTCTTTTATCTTGAAAGATATATCAAAGTGGATTAATGATGACCATACAGTCATTAATATTCTAATTAGTATTGTTAACAATAATACTCCGTAATAAATTAATAATAATAATTATAATCTTATTATTATTATTATTAGTTTCCTATTAGTAGTCTTATTCTTATTTAGTCAATCATCCTAAAGGGATTTACAATCAATCTTCTATTAGTGGTCTTATTCTATTTTAGTTAATATTCCTAATAAGGATTTATATTTCCTAGTATGAATACGGTAAGTCTCTGGAAAGGCTATGCCTATTTAAATTGAGCAACTCTAATAACAAAAGGAATGGTTGAA